ACCCTTCCTACATTTGCAAATCATAAAACAACAGCAAGGCTTTTACTAATGAATATGTGTGAGGAAGATAAAAAGAACTTTGAGTAACTTCATGCCCTTCTCTGCAGTGAATTAGATGACATTTTGTGTTAGAGCAGGTCCTGTTTCAAGGGCTGGAGTTTGGGCAGTGCCCAAACCAGTTCTGGCACCTCTGTGGCCCTCATGGCTGGGGCAACTGGATCTCCTTCCAGGAGATAGAACACACTCCTCTGTGTTATACAGAGGGGAGCAGAAGCCCTCAAAAGCCAGGAAGGAGGAAAATGTCCTGAAGCACAGCAGTTACAACCAACAGCTGAAGTCAACAAGGTGAGTAATTATTTACTTTGCTGCTTTAAAGAAAAAGGAGGGGTGGGGGGAACAGGGAGTAGAGTGGAAATAGTAAACAACAAATGTAAATGCCTAAATTTGCATTACTATAATGTTGTCTAAGAGTATGGAAATTTCAAGGGTTTTACTTTACTTCCACAGGAAGTTTTGAGTTTATATTTTAATTTCTGAGAACCCAAGGGCAAAGCAAAGCAATTAAAATGTTGAAGACTTAAAAATAAACGTCAGAAGCTTCAAATAAAATACCTTTAGCTGATTAGTCTTACAATGCATCTTTAATGAGAAATAAATGAGGATTGCATTGTTTCTTTGGATAAGGAGAGGCATTAGATATCTGCATTGATAATAGAGGGCTTACAAATAATCTAACTCAATGAGCTGCTTCTCTAGAAGAAAAATAGGAAATTTCTACACAGCCTAATGTACAGATAAGGAAATCAGTGAAACAATAAATTTGTAAAAGTCCCTTCAGTACTTATTGGAGGTAAACTTTAACATAGTCCTGTCACTTTTTTGATCTGTTTGGTAAGCATCCATGTTTCTCTAGTTTAGTCAAACTGTTAGTTTGTCTTGAAGACTGATTTTAATGCAAACCAATTTATATTAAAAGTGCAGGCTGTAAAATTTAGAATTAATTTTGAATGACCCACATGTAAAACACTACCTCCTGTATTTACCCCCAGCAAACAAAATTCTATTAAAAACAGGACTCAGAAAGAGACTTTACAAAATATTCTTCACAGTTATCCATCGTGGCAGTGTATCAAATAAAGGGAATACGAAAAGTCCTTTGATTGGGAAGATTGGCAGCATCTGTGGTTTTAAATCAATTGAATTTTCAATATGCACTTATTGTCTGGGTTAAATTGCTGCACAGTAAAAAGGAATGCTGCTCTCTGAACAATAATTGGTGTATTTCAGCTCTCAAATTGGGTCACAGTTAACAGACAGCACGCTCTGTTATAGCTCTCTCTTTCCTTGCTTTCTTGGAAAAGTGATTGAAGCTGTAATCATCCCTGCATTGAGGCAGTGCACTGATTAAAAACCAGTATTTTTCATGAACGATATAGATCCTCTTCCTTAGTCCTGTTTTTGATGGTATTGTATTGTAGAGCACCTCAAAGAACAATGTAGAAATCTGCAGTCTGAACAAAATATGCCGAAATGCACTGAATGAGGACAGCAATCCCAGTTATTGCTGCAGTTTATCTTTGGTAATGAACACTTCACCTTCTGTATGGGACTATGGGAAAATGACATAAGTTGGAGTTATTAATCTTACACCATTTTACAGTCATCATATTCCTAAACATGCTTTTAAATCAAAATAGAAGGACTAAGAATGGGGGGGAGAAAACACTGCTCTGCAAAGCTCTTGTGCTACGTCACGCTGTATCTCAAATTGCTCCAACAACTCCACAGGTTGGGCAAAGCTTTGGAGAAGGAAATGGCCTGCAGGAGCACCCCCTGCACCTAAAGGGTGGCAGGAGAGGATGTGCCAACATCAGCTGAGGAGCGTGGCCAGCAGCACGAGCTGCTCCCAGCTGGGCTTCACTTCTCACCCACCTCTCCACGTTCTGCTCCCGTGGGGGGACAGCTCAGGCCCTGAGCTGCTGAATTCTGCCCTCACCTGTCTGCACTGTCTCACCATCCACTCTTACATTTAATGTGTGAGCCACAGGTGTGTGAGAGCCTCAGGGGGATGCTGGCAGAGGACACAGACATGTGGAGTGCACGCGTGATGATTGCATCTGCTCCTGTCCTGCTCCTGCTGGGCTAGACGGCTGGAATGACACCTGGTGGGAATGGTGACTCCTTTCTCCAGCTTGATACAAAGAAAAACAGGCAAAGGTAGTGGTGATGGTAGGGAAGATGTCCTATCCCATCTCTATTGCACTCTTACTGTGAAGAGATAGTGTCAATTAATTGCCAGACCACAGGAGGGCTGAACATCAGCTGTTATATGGCTGAAGCAAAGTGAGGTGGCTCCATCTCCTCCTCACTGCCTATGGCAGACCAAGACTTAGAATTAATAAAAGGCTAAGTCTAAGTTCAGCTCAGGCTCTGTAAAAAAATGACAGAAGATTCATTGTTTTTGTGCTGTGTGTTCTGTCAGCAGCCTCTTGGCTTCAGTGCTTGCAGTGAACGGGAGGAACCACATTCTCCTGTGGTAACATTATCTTTGTCTCACCTGTATCCAAACTCAAGCCACTGCTTTCCTTCCTGGTGTGCTGTTGACACATTATCCAGCAAATCTCTGGGCAGGCAGGTTGCCACGTGAAGGGCTCTGATCTCAGTTCATTAGAGCACTGTGAGATACCTGCCTGTACTGCTGTGCCTTTTTTATATGGAGAAGAGTGAGAAAGATTTGAATATACACAGATAATGCCATTACCAGTTAACTTAAAAGGCCAAATCGTGGTTTTTTAACAATGCTATACCTTTCTAAGCGATGTTCAAGAAAGATAGGGATATATTTACAAGATAGATGTTCCAATTTCTGGCTACCCAAAAGTGAAATAACACCACTATAAATTTAAATAGGATGAGGCTTTAATGGGTCTCCTAGAGAAAAAATAAGGTGTTTATTAGTAGAAATGTACTAAACTACCTGCATTTGACAAAGTGCTAATGGAGGAAATTACTTGTAGAGAAACAAATGAAAATGTCAATTAAAAAAAAGTAATGGCTCTCTGAGTTGTGGATTTGGTTTTTCTGCCTTTTGTTTTTTTTTTCCAGAGCAGTGCTGGGTATGTTTTTGTATCGCTTGAAAAGCTTTTAATTTGTCTGTGTTGCCTTAGTTCTCTGCATGTTCTTGGGGGTTTCCTGGGACCCCCCTTTCCCTTCTGTATCTGCTGCTGCTTAGCTGTACTTCATTTATGGAGTACAAATGGAGGCTTATTTAACATTCTGGTCTAATGCTTTTTCTCTATTATACGTTTTATTTTTGCAATTTATTTAAGGGGCATTTTCCAATGAAAATGTCCAAGAGCACAGTGACTGCATTTATCAGCTTTGACTTGCTTAATCTTCAGCCTGAGTAACAATTAATAAACCTCCTTCATGTCAGGGAGAATGGGATTAGGAATGGGTGCAAACTGTTCATGACACCTTGCTCCCTAATAAAAACAGATAATCCAAAAGACTTTTCCAAAGAAAATGCAGGTTTCCTGCATTAGGTCCCTTTTTAGGAGATGTCTCACATTTGCCCAAGGAATTTGCCCATCAGGTGGATGTTATTTTGGTAGTGGCAGGCAAAGAGTGGACTCAAGTCTTGATGACTTTTTGGAAAGGTTCAGAAGCAGTGTGTTCTTCAATTTGTTGCTTACAAATCAAGACTTCTCTCAAAGACTTTGTTTTTAGTCATTTGCCTCATGCTCAGAAGTCTCCACCTCAGGTTATACTTTACGTAGGATTTGGTTACTTTCACAGGTTGCTCTGGTGTTCAAGGTTTATTTCATCCTTTTAGCGGCCTAAAAGAAACCCAAATGAGTTGTGGTCACTGGAATTTTCTCCTCTCTGCCCAGCCCTGAGTCCACAGCAGCACAGCAGGACTCCCTTGCTCTGTTTCACCAGCACTGGGAACGTTCAGTGACTTCTTGCTTTAAGGTCAATCATGAGCTGACACTGAGAGTTACAATTACCAGTACTGCTGGACATACCAAAATAATGTCCTCAACATCAAAAGATGGTTTTAAAAATTATAATTAGGGTCTCCATGGGTGAATTGTTTCATAATTTAACATAATATATATTATTTTTCTTGGCATAAACAAGATGAGGCACGGTGACAACAAGGACCTCTGCCATTTCAAATTAGCTAAGGCATCAGTATTAATTCTAAATTAGCTAATTACTCTAAAAAAATGATGCAACAGAATTTGTTATTTATGCTGGTAAAAAAGCATCCCTAGTTTATTTTTTTTAACCCTTTACTTCATGCAGGAATGTCCAGCCACACAGTATGGTTAAAAATCCTTCCCCTGACTGTACTATATGAGTAGTGAAAACATTCTCTTATTTTCCACAGGGTTCTCCTGAAAATGAGACTGTGAAAACCTTCAACTAAGTGAAACCAGGAGGAAAATAAAACCAAAATCATTTTCTTTTCCTCTGAATCAAACATTCCCTGTGCTCAGGTTGCCTTCCTGGGACCACAGTCCCCTCTGGCCCCGTCCAGCTGCAGGTACAGCCCCGTCACTGGTCCAAGGCAACGCTACACAGGTGATTTCACAACCTCAGGAGTTCCACAAATCAGGCTTGAAGGAGCCTCTCAGATAAACTGTTGTGACTAAAATGTAATTAAACTGACTCTTCAGCACAGCATTTCATACCTCTCACCATATTTAAACACCTGTAATACCCTCTAGGGAACATTCCTGTGTGTGAGTACCATAAAAGCTGATAGAATGCATCACTGCTCAGGCAGCACAAGAAATGTTCACTGTGTTCCTCTTCTTCAGGTGCCAAAGCTGCACCAGCTCTAATTCCAGATAACCTTTGGCATGGACTGTAATGTGTTCAACTAAATATTTTAAAAATAAAAACAGGGATGAGTTACTTACATGAAGTTTTTTTTTTTTAAACAAATCAGATACACTTGCTAAAAAAAGGGTGGATTGCAGCACACAAACTTCTTTTATAGAATTTATTTTTAATGACTTATTCCAGTGAACAAAATATATTTTTTAGGGTTTTCAATATTCTGTAATATTACAGTGAGGCACTCTACATTGCATTTGGAAATCAATGCTCTCCCCTTGTCTACGATGCAACAAAGTGACTTCTGACAACAGTACTCTGTACAGAACATTCTCCACATGCCGTTATTCCAACTTCTGTAGCAAGAAATACATGCTAATGGAATGGTACTTAAATTTCACAATGAAAATAGTTGTTTAGTTGGTGTCAGTGGCATGTCTGTATCAGCCTCATTTATACACTTTTCATTAAGTAAAACTATAGAACAGAAACTATACAACTATATAACATTATACAAAACCTTCTAATGGATAGAACAGAGCCCCAAGCTGTGACTGCAAATCAGAATGTGTTTGTGCTCCTATTGCTCCTGGCTCCAAAGGGCTGAGAAAACAAAGCCTGGGAAATGGGGGAAAATACAACACAGAGGTAACAAGGTATGATCCAGGGGTTGCTTAAAGTCAGTGGGAGTCTACTGATTTCAAACCTTTTTGAGATGAAAATTCTCAGAACAGTACTTTTCACTGGCACTTCACCATATTAGCTCTGCTCTTCTTCCATGTTCCTCACAGGTCTCATTTTCAAAAAGAAAAACACATCAACAACTTTCTTGTTATTGAGGACAACAAACTGAGAGCTGTTCTGGGGCACGGTGCAGTCAGGAATCTGTACTTCAGCCTGGGGAAACTTCAGGAAACTGTTTATATTTATCTAATATGGAAAAAGCCCTTTGACACAGCTTACTTTTGCTTAGCAAGCACATCCAGCAGCTCTTTCTCTATGCCTTGGCTGTTCAGTTCATTTAAACTGTAGTATCTGTGAACCAGCTCGTCCTCTGTGACCACCACCACTCGAAGCCCGTGCGTGTCTTCTCCCAGCTGACATCCTATAGCTGATGAAACCACCATTTCCAGTCCTTTGTAGGACCCTCCAGCATTCCTGTGGTAATGTCCAGCAAATACAGCTTTAATACCTGGTAAAAAAAAAAGGGAGAGTGTGTATTTTGTTAACATTCTTAATTCTTTACGTCCAGCATTAAAACTAAACTGTTTACCTGAACTTGCATTTTAAACAAATAATTAGTGAACAGCAGTAAATAATTCTAATAGTAATAAATAATTAGTAAAACTCCATTCTGCTCCACCAGCTCTGCTTAGGGTTACTGGACTTTGACTTCTTTATGCTCATTGCAAGGTGTGTTTGTCATCTCACTACTCCTTTAGTAGTAGGAAGAAAGAAGGAACAGTCCAGAAGCAGCAGATTAAAATTAGGTGCCTTCTATTTTGGACTTTACTGCAGTAAAAACATCACTCCCATTATAAAGTTGAAAAGAAAGAAATACATTTGATCTGTGGCAGGAGACAACAATATGCTATTTAGAAAATTTCTGGGTAGGTCTCATGCAAGTTCCATCCAGTCTTGGTCAGGGGTAGCAGAAAAGCTAAATGACAAGCAGAAGCAGGTAAAGAGGACACCCATATTTCATATTTAAGGCTTTACAATGTATTTTGAAATCCCCGACTGAATCATTTGTTTGATTAGCCAAAAGAATGTTTAAAGAAGTCCAACCATTCTTCCCCTTCTCTCAAAATACGATATTTTTAACAAAAAATTTGCACATGCTGTCTGATTTTGTCCGACTCCTAATGATCCACATGCCAGGTCTGTGTTCTTGCCCTGCTCCTCAGTAGCTGTGGGATTTTTGCAGAAATTCTGAAACAATCTGACATTACATGAATCGTGTCATTGTCATCTCCAAACCGGTAATTTCTTCTTTTTGTTTTTTCCCTCTTGCAAACACAAACAAACAGATTGGTAAAAGCTCTACTCACTACTCTGAATGGCCTTTTGGATTGTCCTTCCAAGTCCAACTCATGCTATCAAATAGATTCAAGAAATAAAGTCATTTTGTTGCTAAGTACTTGTCTCTCCTGTCACAGTTTGCAAACCCATCAGCAACAGAGTTGAGAATCGAGTTGCTTCCCCAAAAGAGAATGTCCTGTCGTGACAGAGCTTTTCATCTCGCTGATGCCAAATTCCTTCACTCCTGAGCCTTTCTGTGCACTGGCCATAGATACAACACCATTCACAGCTTGGTAAAAAAATATTCACCAGCTTTCCTGCCAATTTCAGGTAGTGAAGAATTTACTTTGCATGAGAACGTGGTGTTAGGATAAATAGTTAATTTTACAAACAGGATTTGGGATTATGTTTTGGCATGCTTAGTGTAAGATCCTTGGATTTCAGACTCTTACAGCTTCCTGATATTGCACTTAATCCTATTTTATACTGTTGCAAAACAGTAAAATTACTGGACCAGATGGCTGGAAATTTTGTTGTTTATCATCAAGTGCAAAACATTTAAATTAATTTTACATTTTGTTACAGAAAGTGTTTAGATCTGGTGTTGATTTATGACACTACTAAATGACAATTCAAAAACTGTTGAATCCATCTGAAGGACTTAGGTGCCATTTCTCTATTGAAATACAAGAGGTTGTATTTGCTCCTCGAGCAAAATGACACTCTGATGGTTCCACATAAAGCCTCTGAAAATGCATCCATTTAATACTGAGTGATTCAAAATCCCACTAAGTATTCCCAGAAAACTATGACAGAATGATGAGCAAGCCTGTAACGACAGCCAGGGATGGACACTGTGATGGCAACCCCAAACTTCACTGGATACTGCTCATATATTCCAACGATCTGCCCTTCCACGCTTAACACAAAACGTATCACCTGCTTAGTCCTGTTCAAGTGGTGGGCCAGAGGGGGTAACTTGTGAGATACCACAACCTTAAATGACATTTAAAAAAATAAAAAGCCAGAAACAACTGATTTTGCCTTCAGACAGCAGCTATTTTATAAGATAGCAGAAGCAATTTGAAGCCACAGAGCTGCAATGAGGAACACTTTAACTTTACATGGAAACCCTTACTACTTGAGCCAGAAAAACCTTCCATGCTTTCTTCTGCAGCAGATTTAGACCTCTTTCACAGTGATTAAATGAAACGGGAGGCAGATGAACCCATCTTAAGACCGAAGTCTAACATCAATCCTTTGCTTTTGTGGGAGTGAGTGAAGACTGATATAAAATATATAAACTAGGCTCAAAGTATAGTTAAAAATTAAGCAGCTTGGAAAGCAAAATATAAATTATTCTAGTGTGTGCCTGGTAAGAGCTACACAGGCTTTCATATTTCAACATCCAAACCCTTTTCAAACAGCAAATGAGTCAAGGTGGAAACCAGAGAATGAGTCATTGTATTGTCCTTCTCAGCTACAACTTGTCTGTTACCCTATTTTAGTGTATCAATGCTAATTATCCCTGCTAGTGTAACCTACTCATCTGCTGGGTGAGTTACACTGCAAGGGAGGCAGAACAACTTCGGGAGCTGCTCTGACTCAGCTGCAGGAACCCAGCAAAACTGGGGAGGTTTTTTTAAACCTCAGGACAAACCCAATTAGAAAACCTCAACAACCAGTGGTGGAGTACAACGGGCTGAGACATAAGGGCTCTTTGATGAGATTCTCTGCTTGCTACGTTATTATTTGGGTCCTTAAAATCGTAATACAAACAAGCTTTACAAGTGATGCCACAGTCACTCTGAGATGCTCAACTGCTACCACGTTGCAGGTAATTACAGTGACTGTTGGAAAGAATTCAAGGGAAGATTTTGACAACCCCACCCCAGACAGAGACAGACACCAGGGAAGAACTTTGGCCCACCAATCATGCAGCTTTTCTTCTTCTATGGGAAGTACCACAACTTCACTACAATTCCACCAAACATCTGCTAACTACAGCCAGGAAGGTGTTTTGGTATGGAACTGGAATGAGTTGTAAGCAATGCAAGATAAAACCTGAGATCAGCAAGGATGTGATTTAAAACTTCTTTTATCTCCTGCTGGCCACGGCAGACAGTCTGTCTAAACAAGCTGGTGTTTATGGGTTCTGTTCATCCAAATCCCTCAGTTCAGCACATGGATGCTATTCAGATCCCAAGTGCACTACACAGGTGTTCAGTGCTGGATGCCCTTGTGGATCCAGCTGCCTCTGCTGGAATTCAGTGTCTGCTCTAGAAATCTCCCAGGTTCCTAAACCACCCAGACTTCAGAATGCTCACCTATTTCTAGTGCTAGTGTTAGCTGTTGTTATTGTTGGTGTGTTACATGCCAAACAAACAAACAAACAAACAGGTCACTGGGGGGTATTAATAGAGGTCTCACTGATGGTGTTTTTTCTGCAGCACCACATTTCTGTTCACTCAACTGTATCCCACTCACTTTTGTTAGTTAGCACAAGAAGGAAATCTCAACCAGTCAATGCAATAATACTAAGATGACAAGCAGGCAATTTACTTTGCTCTTGCTTTTGATCTTTAACATAAAAGGAATCTTAGAGATGTATGCACTCAAATTTAATTTATTCATTTCAGATGTTTTTCTGAAGTAATACTGTCAAGTTGCTAGCAACACCCTCCCTTTTTTTTTTCCCCAAACTCTGAGGAAAGAGGAGTGTCCTGGCTGGCCCCATTTTTATGGCCCCCTTTAATGTATCCTCAGGTAAGTTAAATGCATCCTGCTATACACTAAAAGACACAGTCCCTTCCCACTACAAAAGGAAAAAATAAAGGTTGAGTTGTGATTTGTTTTTAATTCCTGGTTTCTTAAACAGTAGCTGGGAAAAGCACTGATATAAAAGCTGCATGAAATACTAAAAAATGGTTAAAGAATGGCACCTCCACAGGTATTTTGCTATTTTTTTTTTTTAATGAAATACATGATGATTTGAATTTCAATGTGAGTGGAGGTTTCACAGTATCCATTAACTAAAAAAAGCAGGATCCATTACTGCAAGACACTGTTCATACCTAATGGATTACTCTAAAAGAAAAGCAAGCACAACAATCCACATGTGCTGCCTCTGTGATCATCACCTCACATCAGTTGCATCACAAACCAACAGGAGAACTTGCTTGGGTAAAAAGGTCTGAACTGCCAAATGAATTTTTGATCGGAACAGGATTGGAAGCCGGAGATGCAGAACGGGCTCCACCCAGTGCTGGACACTAGAGCTTGTCCTGGCTGTTCTTGGATCATGGAAACACCCAAACCCAATGAGTTTCAGGTCTGCCCACCAAACATGAGTTTTATGAATCAATCAGTATGCAAAAAAGTCAGTGCCTTTGTAGAAAAAGGTTTAAATATGTGAATTGATCTGATTTTAGTCAGTTAAAGCTGTCCTCCTGCCATGCAATTTACCATCATTTTCTGATCAAGCACAAAATGTCCTTTTTAGTTCTCATCTGACAAAGCTGAATCTGAAAGACAAAAAGATTTATCTTTTCCAGAGATCTGACTGTAACTCCTTCTTTCTGATGGAATAATCCATCCCTACTACAGAATGAAATACTTATTTTGGTTTAAGTTCTGTGAACCCTGAGCAGCCTATTTGGCATAAATAATTCATGACATGACAACCAACCAAATCACGGATAGTCACCTGAGGAGATGTAACACCTACACAGGTCGATAAGCCTTGGAGTCTTCATCAGCTACACCACGACACGAGTTAACGAACACTTTGGTTTTATGGTAATTCACAGCCTGCACTATGGCTTTGGGGCTGTGAGGTTACCCAGTGGCTTTGGCAAGGCAAGAGGTCAGTGCTGGGGAGGGGAATTCACAGCTCATACAGTTCAGCTGCTACCTTTGATGCTTCCTGTATGTACTTTCATAAGCAGAGTCTTTAAAGCACAAGTCAATTTTAAGAAAATTTCAAACCATATTCATCTTTTAATTTGGATACTTTTCCCAAGTCAAAACCACGATACAAACACTTTGCTCATGGTTTCTATTGCAGACATTTCTCAACAGGAAATTCAAAATCACCTCTGAAGCCTTTCCTCCCCCCTCTCTTATTTCCAGAGTCTGCTTTCTAAATCCAGCTCACCAAGTCAGTCATTG